GAGCGTATTATGAACTCTGCCAAAGAGTGCGGTTATACTTTGCGGCAGCGTGTCAGCGTTTTGCGCGTTTCGAGCGATTAGGAAAGCATAGGTATCGAGCCACCCTTTTAAGCGTCCACAGCGTTTTAGGCGTTTAGAGCGTCCACCTCCGTTTTCGGCGACTAGGGAAGTGTATGTATCGAAGAGGTATCGAGCGTCTTGAGCCAGCCCTCTCATCGTCCACCAACGTTTCGAGCGTCCAGGTATCGGTCGGTTGCCGCTCAAAACGCGCCAATTGTTGAAATGATACCTATACTTTCCTAGCGCTGAATGTTCGGAGCGCTGCCGCAACGTATGAACGCACCCTAAAAGTGTGTTTATTCTTCGCGCGATTCGGTCTCCGATCGCGCGATCGAAGCGAATCGCGAAGTGTAAACGCACTCTAACTCACGTGTACATCCTGCTTTATCTCACGTAGAGCGGTAGTTTAATTAATTCCCCGTTATATAACGTCACAGTTTAAGTCATTCCCATAAGACTTTTTTAATTTATTTGTTCCACATTCGTGAGTTGATCATGGAACTGGGAAAAAAAGTCGTGAATTCTTTGGTTAATTTGTAGTAATTTGATATGCAATTGCATTTCCAGAATGCTGTCGCAACCTGCGAACAAGAAACGGAAAACTATAGTTGTGGAAGTAGAAGACGAAAGTGACGACGATATTCACATCATCGATGAAAGACGTCCGTCTAGTCAACGTACCTGTGACGAGTTTAATCCCCAAGATAATCCTGAACAATTCTACACTCAACGACAGCATCCCAAATTTCATACGCGTAATTTGGAGAGAGCAGTCAAAAAGGAAAGTGAGTTGCTGTATAGCCCAAGGGTTCTATGGAATCAAATTTTGTAGAACGAAGAAATTTTGCACAGGATTGTTATGGAGGTGACCGTTCAATGTTCACCTTATACAGGAGCGTGGTCAAAACCATTACCTGAAGTTCACGATCTTTTTTTCGTGGCCACTGCGCCCAAGAACTTTGAGGATCTTGCCATGAACCCCAAGCAACTGCGCAAAGTAAGTGTTCAAACCTGAAAGCAGTTTATTTTTATTGACTTATTGGCGACAAGGTAGTTAGGGAAGGGTGTCACTTCGCGAGACCTGTTTCAGAGGAAAATAGGGATCGCTGTCTCGGTGAGGCGGCGTTCATATTTTGCGAATCGGCTTGTTGGGAGAGTCAGCGTTTCTCGCGCAAATAGGTATCGATCGTCCTCCAGACGCTAAGGCAGCGCAGCTTTCAACTCGCGACGCAGTGGGAAAGCGCTGCGCGGCGCAAAAAAGGCGGTTGAACGCGCACCGAAGCGCTGCCGTCGCGAAGTCTGAACTGTGCTAATCGCTCAGAGTCGCTTGATTCTCAAAACACCGAATAGCAAAAATATGGATTCAGCCCCTAGATACCAGACCAAAGTTCGCCTGCTGATTCTTGTCACCCCTCCCTCCCTCACTACATTAGTACCACTGCTGTTACTAGTTTTTTTTTACAGCTAAAAGCAATACTTTCTCAAAAGGAAGGCTATGGTCAGATACTACTTGTCACGGGCCCTACGGTTGTTTGGTTCGTTTTCTTTCTCAGGTGGCGTTCACACTTCGCAACTCGAGCGATTTAGTCGCGCGCTGCGGTTGTCTTGAGTCACCACAAAGTACTGAATAAGTTTCAACCTATCTGGGGTTGAATTACAGCTGCAGCGGTCCTACTATTAGCGGCAGAGCGCAGTCTGCCGCCGCGTGCAGCTGCGCGATTCCCGAATCACGCGGCTGCATGGCTCGAATCGCCAAGTATGAACACAGCCGTCTCGTTTTGCATTTTTTGTGACTGGTGCTTCGTGACAGATTTTTCATTCATTTATTTATAGCTGAATCACATGCATTGATGTTGTTGCAAAGTCTTTGAAATTGGAAGTTTTGAAGTGGGAACATTCAGCGAATGTAGAAGTAGTAAACTACGGAGGCGACTGCTATTTCAAAGAGGTAATTGTTTACATTGCGCTAATGTAGAACAGGTACGCGGGCCTGTACGTTGCACCGAACATTGCGCACAGATGAATAACCGATCGGCGCGCGTCGCTACTGCTTTGCAGAGAGCATGCGGAGAAATAGAGGCTACAGATCACGCGGCAAGCATTTCGTACCCTGTTATTATCTTATAGGCTCTTAAGAACCTAGCCAGCCTGCGGCCAGTCAGAATCGCGATAACCGCCGCGTCGACGCACACCATTGGGATGACGCCATCGTCAAACCGTCTATGGATGCATTCCTCCTTCTTATAGCAGTGGAATGCTATTGCACATGGTAGCGCTGTCACGCGCGTCATCAGGAAGGCTGTACGCCGCCTTACCTGTCAAGAGATAGTCGACGTGTCATTGACGTCACATGAAACCTTAATGACTAGCCTGAACGCGACTGACCGAAATTTGCCAATGCCATATTTATCTTGCCGTTACTGTTGATGCGACCCGTCATCTCATGAGTGTTAAATAACTACGTTATCTCCTAATCCTTAACGAGTATCCTCTGTTACCTGTTCTCTGTTACCTGGCGCTTTTCGCTTATATTTTTGTGCTTTTTCAAAGCACAACCTTTGTTACATTTAAGGAGAGCGAACTCAACTCCCTATTGGCCTTCCTGCGATCAAGCACTCTGCCTGCTAAAAGTCGAGGTCGTAATTCAGAGAAGCCGCAAAGGAGGTTATATCACATTGATGATTTGCCGACGTTGGCATATCAGTAAGTGTTTAGCCGTTGTTTTCACTTTATTAATTCTGCTCTTATACTTCGTACATGACTGGAGGAATGGAGGGTTTGTGAACCAGAGAAGGTGATTGTATACGTTTCGATAGATCTGGCCCCGCTCATGGTGTTAAATCGCATAATTAGCGAAATGAGTTAGGCACATATCGATCTGTAGAGTCGGAACCCTGTCATTTCTGGCAAGCTTTTCTCGATCGATATTCGTCAAGCTTCTTTCGTGAACTCATTGGTAATCCATTTTGGCCGAGTCGGCAAAGTCGATTTGCATCCAGTCCTTTTTGCAGATTTTCCAACTTTCTACCGGCAGAATATGAAGTTATCCTAGAAGCTTGTGTATCACTGACTCTCTGGCGTTTGCTTGTAGGGATGCTGGTGAATTTCGTCGTCTTATCTACCCACATCTGCTCAGTACAAAGCACATTGTCGTCTTTGACTTGACTACGCGAGATTCTTCGTGGTACATGTCTCCTAAACGGGTGTTTCCCAAGCATTTTATCACTGTGAGCATAGCTTTGAGATAAAATTTCATTCCTTCTGCTGTAAAACTTTTCCACGTAGTTCACATAATGTCATTTCAGAGTCTTAATATTTGTGAGTTGAACTTCTACCCTGTTGCAAGTACGTTCATGCGGAAAGGATTGAGGAGAGCTGTAGATTTCTTGGGATTTCAATCCAGAGTTAGTATGTTTTATGCCTTTATTAGATTTTGAACGCCTGCTTCACAGTTTATGGTTAGCAGGAATGCAAGTCTTTTGTCAGTTTCCATGTAGCCATATTGCCACCCATCGATTGTTAGGATATTCTCAAGTTATCTGAGAGAAAGGGAGAAGGTAGTGTAGTGGCAAGTGGAGCCACATGCGCTCACTGTTCGTCTCTGCGAATCACAGATCGTCTTCCGCTTAGGCCACCGAACCCCTTCACATTCCAAGAATGGCAGATTGGAACCGATTTGTGGGTGTGTAGCAACAGAATCGTCCGGTGCAGCTGGTGGGCGTGGCCTGCGAC